CCCTCCCCGGTTTCGGGGGGCAGGGGAAAGGGGGGTTTTTTTCTTTTTTTTTTTTTGCGGAAGGGGGAGATCTTGTTTTAAGTTTCCTATGTGCCGTTCGGCAGCGAGGGGACTGCGAGGTAGGCGCCGAAGACTGGCGCCGCGATAGGCTTCGGGGCGCCCAGAGCCGGTGGCCACGCTTTGGGGATAAGGGTGGGTACCGACCGCCCGCTCCGGAAGGCACAAGGGAGGGAGTGAGGACTGGCCTGGAAGCCCGTGTCAGAGCTGGGAACACTTGGGGGAAAGGTCCGGAGCAGTCGGCAGCGAGGGGACTGCGAGGTAGGCGCCGAAGACTGGCGCCGCGATAGGCTTCGGGGCGCCCAGAGCCGGTGGCCACGCTTTGGGGATAAGGGTGGGTACCGACCGCCCGCTCCGGAAGGCACAAGGGAGGGAGTGAGGACTGGCCTGGAAGCCCGTGTCAGAGCTGGGAACACTTGGGGGAAAGGTCCGGAGCAGAGCTGTTGGCACCTCCGAGCCAGTATATGCAAAGCTCCTACCTATAAAATCGTAACACATTAAGAAACGTTAATGACATAGTACATATTTAAGACTAGGAATAATCAATGTTTTGAAAATACAGTCTTCTCACCATAATCCATAATGTCAATGCAATTCAAACAATGCCCCGATACTATTTATGAGAAATAACAACTGCTTCTAAAATCTCAGTGGATATATCAAGGGCAAAGGAAATCCTACAAGTAGAAGAATGAAGAGGGAAGATTTTTATTGCTGTTCATTAAGACTTGATTTCGATTTCAAGCTATGGTAGTTAAGACCAGGTTGTACTGATACAAGGACAACCAAGGGGCCCATGTCACAAACAGAAGCGTGGTAATAGACACACACATGTGCAGACATCTGACTCATGCTGAAGGCAAAGGGGTAGGGCCAACTGTCCATCTCTGTGAACAACCTGAAACTGAGCTGCTACTTCACACCAGCCACAAATCAATTCCAGGGAGATGAAAATCTAAACATAAAAGGGAAACGATACAAGGGAACTTCAAAAAGTTCACAGAAAAAGGGAATTAAAATATGAATTAAATTTGGTGCAAAAATTTTGAAATCTATGCATAGTTTTTTAGTAATACACATTTCCTATGAACTCTTTGAAGACCCCTTGTACCACTCGTAGAAGGTAAAAGAGTTAATATAGTCAAGATTTAGGAGCAGGGACGGGTTTATTAAACAAGACACAAAGCAACTAGAGGAAAAGACTTGAGAAAATAAACTACGTTAGAACTGAGAACTTTGGTGCTTTGAAAGATACCATTAGAAGTGTGAAAAGCGAAGCTCAGAGTGGAGGAAGAGCTCTCCAACACACAAAACCAACCAAACACTTGATTCCAGAATACATACAGAACGACGCCCAGTCAAGAAAAAGGGAACCGAGCGCTGGACAGATGATCAAGAGAGCTGAACAAGCACTTCATTTCCCCCAAAAAGGATATCCCACGGGCCAACGGGCATCTGGAAATGAGCTGCATCTCACAGGTAATGGGAGGAAGGTAATCTTGGGAAGGCACAAGAAGGTACTGCTACGTGGCGGAAACGAAAACAGCAGATGGTGGCCAAGTGTGAGTGAGCACACGGAGCCACAGGAACGCTCACTCGTGGTTGGTGGGTGTGTGATTTGTACAGCTATTTTGAAAACTACTTGAAAACATTCAGACATATTACATGGCTGTTGAAGACAGGCATGTCTTGAAGATCACAATTCCACTTCACATTTACCTTGTGCACCGAGAGACATTTCTGAGAATGTCTGCAGGACTACACTTTGTAATGGCTCTGGTAAGGGAACCACTCAAGCGTATACCAGTGACAGAATGGATGCACTGCTGCGTTCCTAAATGGGACTTCCTGTTCCAATTCAAAGGCACAAACTTTTGTTAAACACAAAATAGGGATGAATTTCCCAAGTATAATTTTGAGTGAAAGAAGCAAATACAAAAATCTATATAGGAATGATTCCTTTTACACACATTTAAAAAGCAGGCACAGTTTAAGATCTCGTGTTATTACAGTTAGGAAAGGAGCGGCCTCTGGGAGCTGGGAGCAGTCTCGCGTGGGCAGGGGAGGGCGCGCACCGCGGAGCCTGGCTGCGGGGGCTGGGAGAGTGGTTAGGAAGAAGAGGAGGAGCACAGCCCCTCACCCTCGACTCATAAGTCTAATAGGATCTACCCTGGGTGTCTCTGAGAGTGTGAACCTGCACCCCCCTCCCAAAGGGGAGGGGGGAGGAATAGAAAGTCCCTTACTTCTCAGCCTGCCTGAGCGGGGACCGGTGTCTCTTCTAAAGGGTGAGGTGGCTTTGACCCCGGGTTGCCCGGCCAGCACGACCGACCGAGGAGGTGGCTGGACAGCTGGAGGATGAACGGAGAAGCCGACTGCCCCACAGACCTGGAAATGGCCGCCCCCAAAGGCCAAGGTAGGGGCTCCCACACTCCGTTGTATTTAACTTAGAATTGTCTTTCCCACATGGCTGTTTGCAGGCTCACTCCCCTCCTGAAAGGTTTCTCCAGGCTACATCCTCCATCCTCCGAATCTGAAAAGGGGAAGAGGGTGTTTATGATAGCATCCCTCTCACTTGGAGTTTGACTAAATCCAAAATTATTTGGCATGGAGCCTATAAGTAGTATTTTTTCACACCCTCCTCCTCCTGTGTTTGAGTGGGAGAAGGGGCCGCCTTCCAGACCTCCCAATCAGCCCGAAGTGTGCCCTGGTCCGGTGTCCTGGAATGGGAGAAAGGATGAGGAGTGTGGTAGAGGGGGTAGGAGACAGGTTGGAAAGGCTTTTCAGGTGTTTTTGTTATTTTTTGCACTAGTGAGAGAGAGACAGCACCCCCAATAGGGTCTTCTCACCAGGACCCACCCCCCAGATTATCGAGCACCAATCACAGATGCACTTGTGCTGGGCCTACTCAGGGAGGTATGTGGGCAAGAACCTGGAACCTTCCCATGTGGGTCAGCATCAGTGTCATGTTTTTACCTCAGCACCATCATCCAGCCCCCAGATGTTTTCTTATTATTAAGAAAACCAGGTGTCTTCAGAAGCAGTTGGAGAGAAAGGTTAGGTTCAGACCCTAAGCCATGGGGAGGTGTAAATGACTACACCCCTACCAGGGATCCAGCCTGTATGCCGGTGGAGGGTAGGATGAAGCCGAGCATCTGGCAGTGCTTGTGGGACACTGAGGAGAAGGATTATGGGCCCACGTGACCTGCTTTGTAGATACCCTGGCCCAGGTTACCAGATACAAATGAAAATGAAGAGCCCTATGACTCCTAGCTTTGAGGACCTATTCTCCCAGCTCACCTTCTGGGGTAGCCACCCTCCAGAGGCCTGGAGCTCTTGGGGGCTGCATCTTAGTTGCTGAAAATAATGGTTCCAGACTCCCTTTTTTGCTTCCCTAAGGAACAAGGCCAAGACAACCACTTGGATTGGGGGTGGGAGGGTTCTTCTTAGGGTAGGAACCTAAGAGCCCTTGTCCACATGCCTGCTTTGCCTGCCAGCTGTCCTGTGTGTGGTTCTTCCACTTCCATCTCATTTTAGTTACTGACTAGAAATTCTCCTTTGGTCTTCCTTTAGGTGCTGGGAGGGAGGAGATGGACGGAATACCCGTGTCTTTGATATGGGTTTCCAGATGTTCTGGAGAGACTTGACTTGGGTTTTCCTTATTGCCCATACCCCATTCTCAGTCCTTGCATGTTTATTCACCCAGAGCTTGAACTTGGTAATGTGTTTAGATTTTTAGATAAATTGCTACAGTCCCTCTTAGATACAGCAAGCCACTTTCCCAGAGGACCCCAAATCCCTAGGGCTTCATCCCCTAGCCCTTCTACTCCACAGTAAATAGGAACGTGACAACCTGGCATGTTAGAAGTGATCATAGTTTTGAAGTAAGCAAGACCTGAGTTTAAGCATTGGCCACAATTTCCTTAGGACTGAGCCATGTCATGTCTCTGCCTTCACATGGGAAGCAACTGGGGCTCGATGCTCTCGGGAGGAAGGGTTGGGTACTCAGTTCCGGGAATAGATTGGGGCTGGAGGGGGGAATAGCTTGAGCTAGGCTAGATGGCCTCTCTTACCTCTCACCAGACCGCTGGTCCCAAGAAGACATGTTGACTTTGCTGGAATGCATGAAGAACAATCTTCCATCCAATGACAGCTCCAAGTTCAAAACCACTGAATCACATATGGACTGGGAAAAAGTAGCATTTAAGGACTTTTCTGGAGACATGTGCAAGCTCAAATGGGTGGAGATTTCTAACGAGGTAATTGATATCCCCCCCTTTTTCCTGATATAGGTGAATACACACCTACACATATCCCTGCCGCAGCCTTCGTGATTGCGGAAATAAACTAAAAACCTGTAACAGAAAGGAAAGGGACCAGGAGAGGTCTTTGTGAGGTTGCCCATTGGTTCTGCACTTGCCCTTGTGCATTTTGAGAGGAGACACGGTTGAGAGCTCTGGCCCGGTATTCTCAGTTGTGTCACTGTTATCTGGGTGGCCTTGAAACCTTACCATCTCTGAGCCTCTTGTTGCCTGAGCTGTTCTGAGATTGAATGAGATGCTGGCATGGACAACTACGTGGAGGTCCGACAGTCACCTTGTGGCTGTCCTTTGGCATGTCCTTTCTGTGCGGGCCAGTGCTAGGTGTCAGGCTGCTTGTGTGGTGTGGCTATTGGCCTCTACTCCTCTGATAGGTTTCCTCTAGTGGAAGGTTGAGGAAACCTGTCAGAAAGTAGGGTGCGCTACAGGTAGTGCTTCGCTTTCCAGCTGCCCCTTCCCTCACCTCTCTCCTTCTTCCAGGTGAGGAAGTTCCGTACATTGACAGAATTAATCCTTGATGCTCAGGAACATGTTAAAAATCCTTACAAAGGCAAAAAACTCAAGGTGAGCTATTGGGAGGTGAAGCCCGAGGGATAGGGGAGGAATAGTCCCAGGAACAAATGTTACCTGACCTTCATTGTGTCCTTGTCCCCACTTCCAGAAACACCCAGACTTCCCAAAGAAGCCCCTAACCCCTTATTTCCGCTTCTTCATGGAGAAGCGGGCCAAGTATGCGAAACTTCACCCTGAGATGAGCAACCTGGACCTGACGAAGATTCTATCCAAGAAATATAAGGAGCTTCCTGAGAAGAAGAAGGTGGGGGGAGGGGGGCTAAAGAAGGGGAGGGGAAATGCTGGGAGCAGCTGGTGCCCTGAGGGTGTTTGGGAGGTAGGCCTTGGACAGGGCTCTGGCTTCAGGGATGTGGGTGAGTCAGTACAGCAGAATAGGCTTGGAGGCAGCTGTACAGGATTGCCTCTCCCAGACTCGCACAGGGTCAAGCACAGGCACCGGCACCGTGGCAGATGTGACCGAAAAGAGCCAGGTGCCCAGACCAGCCTTTTATTCTCCGGACAACCCATGACATTCCATTTCATACAGCTGTCCCCCCATCCTCGCATTCTCACCATTAGGCCTGCCATCCTTCACTCTGTGACGTTTCCTGTCATGGTCTCATTTGATGCTTGCAGCGTCTTTGTAAGGGTAACCCCAGACAGAGGGGTTATCCCAGATTTGCCTGCAAAAAAAACGAGGTTCGGTGTCCCAGGTCACATGACTAACGATGCTAGAGCAGGGTTGGACTTAGCACCCTGGACTCCCTGTCTTGTGCTCTCACTGCTGTGTCCACATGTTAAATGAGCTTTTTTCCCCCGTGCACACATGTTCACCTAAGGACACAGGTTGTCCCTCCTGGCCTCATGTTGTCCCCTGCAGACATACGAAACTGTCCCAGACACTTAGAGAACCCCTTGGGCAGCTGTTGCTCAAGCTTTCCAGGCAGGCTGGACACAGACTAAGAGCTCCCCTGGCAGGGGATCAAGATATTGGAAGAGCCCTGCCATGTCACAGATGATACGAGATGAACATGAAGAGGACATGCTAGTGGCAGTGCGGAGCTAGGGAGAGATGGTGGAGGGCAGTGGGAGAGGCCAAGAGGCTTATTTGCCAGGAGTGGAAACAAAGTAGCACACAGCCAGCTCTCAGTTAGTGGCTGCTGCCATGCAGTGAGTAGCCCTTTTCTGGATTGCATACCTTGGCTGCAACACATGCTGTTGGTGCTGTACCCAAAAAAGGAGCCAGCTTGGGTGGGTAAAACCAGCTGTTTGCAACTGTTGCCCAAGCAGAGTAGGAGCATAAATTGCTGGAGTTGTGGGCCCCTTGTGAGGATGTTGGACTGTTGACTGTACACATGACACCCGAACACTCCCAAGGTGGGAGGGAGAGGTCTAGAGGCAAAGGCTCTGAGAAGCAAAGAGGGACAGACTCGCAGAGTGGCCCAGGTGCTGGCCTGGGGGACACAGCAGGACACATTCTCCTGACTCTACCACTGGACCACTGTGTACGAGGCTTCAGTGAGCTACTTCACTTCGCTGGGTCTGGTCTTGTGAGGCGTGGAGGAGGAGCCAGATCTGTTTGGTGCCTCCCAGCTCTACAGATGCCATCTTGTCTGAGGAGGGCTGAAAGTGGGAAAGAGGAGGCTGGACTCTGCTTCTGGTTTTCTGCAGGAACCACAAGGGA